ATATGTAGACATGTAGATACGTGCATTTTTATACTTTCTAAAACCATCCCTGAAGTCTGTTAACTCTATTGAGTTTATTAAAAGACCATACAGAAATGGATAGGAAGCCTCAGAGCTGGAGTGGCTTGGGAATGTTATCAAAATGCTCAGAAAAGAAGCCCAGGAGGAGGAGGAGAAAAGCTTCTCATCTTTTTTTTTTCTGATGTTCAATTAGAGTGTGAGCCTAGAGAAAAGCACTGTTGAGGTCTTCAAACCAAAAGAACAATAAAAGTATTTCAATTAACAGTTTGGAATATAGCATGCAAGCTACTAAAAAGAGAAGATATTTTAAATGTATATTTGTTTGCAATCTCAAATAAACAAGAGCATATTCAAAGTAGGCTTAAAACATATAAGGAAATATTAAATACATAAAAATATATATTTCAAATGTATTAAATATTTTATTACATTTATGTTATTTTTATGTAATTATTAAAAGCTTTCGTTTAACCAGGAATACCTGAAATATATAAATAACACAACCTGGGAAAATATAGAATTAAAAAATCTTTAAAGATAGTGGTTATGTTCACTATATATACAAACATTGAAGAAAGTATTCTGATCTTTATAACCACACTCAGATTTATAAAGAGATAGAACTACAACAGAAATGCCAGGAGTATATGAAAATACAATTACTACTCTGTGATATAATATTGTAAGCAATACCCAAATTAACTTGTAAATAATTAAGCAGTATCTGTTTAATGTCAGGTGTTAAAAGCCATTTTCATGCATGAATATGTGCATGTGTTATATTTGACGTAGGAAATTGAAACAGAGAAGTGACTTAACTTTTCTCTTTTTTAAAAATTTATTTATTTATTTGTTTTAATTATTTTATTGGGGCTCGTACAATTCTTATCACAATCCATACATCCATCCATTGTGTCGAGCACATATGTACATTTGTTGTCCTCATCATTCTCAAAACATTTGCCTTCTACTTTAGCCCTTAATATCAGCTGCTTATTTTCCCCCTCCCTCCCCACGTCCCCTTCCCTCATGAACCCTTCATAATTCATAAATTATTATAGTTTTGTCATAAATTACACTGTCCGATGCAGTAACTTTTCTAAGGGACACAGTAACTTAGCAACAAACTAGGGAATGGGGTCCAAGTCTCCAAGCTCAACTCATTGTAGCATCTACTGTATCATGGTTTTCCTGGTCTATAGAAAAAGTAGGCAAGGAGACATATAATCTAACTATTCTTCTAGATGGAATTTTACAAAACACCTGGGAAGCAGGCCCAGAACAATCGAGACATCTGAGAAGTTCATACATATTATTTTCAAGGGACTGATAGAATAGAAGCTCTTTAAGTCACCTCTAGAAAGAAATATGTGACACCAGATGGTAGTTCACAGGGTTGGAGTCATAAGGAACAGCAGTTAGGGGGTGCTTTCAAATGCCTGGAAACAAAGCACATGAGAAGGAAGAGAAGAAAGAGGCTTTTTAGTATTTTTCTTTCTCCCCGCCCCCACCCCTGGTGTTCCATTAGAGTGTGAGCCTATAGAAAAGCACAGTTTAAATCCTCAGAAAGAAAGAATAATAAGAGCTTCAATTTAGTTTGGAATAGGGCATGCAAAGTACTGTCCAAGACTCTACTAAGTTCCTGCCATCTTGATGCAAAATTTCCATGGCAGCATTCTGTCATAACCATAATAACGTAAAGCAAACTCCCACAGCCTTGGAGTTCATTCCAACTCCTAAAGAGAGTAAAATGACTTATGGAAGAGACTGCCACATCTATCTCCCTTGGAGCAGCTGATGGGTCTCGACCCAGACCTTTCAACATACGAATGCTTAACAACTATGCCACCATGCTCCACAGAAAGCAGAGAGGATTATAATTGACTCCAAATATCATCCTTAGAACATGTCTAAGTGATTGACCACACATGTACAGCTTTGCTGTAATTTATATTGCCGTGCGTTTTAGAAATATCCTAGAAAAATTATCACTGAATACACAGCTGTGAATTTCTTGCCAACTTAACTGAAGGAAGGAGCACTACAGGATACGGCCAGAGCCATGTTCAGTGACTGAAGGGCACGTGGCTTATAAAGGTGCATCTGTGTAAATGAAAAGCATAGCTCATACAAAGTAGGCAAATAAAAAGTTGAGAAAGAAGGAGTGCAGAGTCCTTGAAAAGTTAATGATAGTTGAGAAAATAATTAGAAGAGATGTCGCCACTTTAGTTGTATTAGCTCCTTAAAAGATACCAAAACACAACAAACCCATGACCTTTGAGAAGGACAGAGTAGAACTACCCCATAGGAACCCCAAGCCTGTAAATCATTACAGAAACAATCTGTAGAGGCTTTCTCCCACAGAGTGGCCACTGGATTCAGACTGCTGGGTTTCCACTTATCCAGTGTTTACCCACTAGGCCACCAAGGCTCTTCCTCTTTATGATGACTCTTGGGTATTACTCTTATAAAAAAAGGGGTGGGATGGGGAGCTAAAGGAAGATATACCAATACATTAGCAAATAAAAGGTGAATGATCTTAACCTATTGCAGAGGGAATGATCAATGAGGGAATATACAGTCTCCTGCTGCGGCATCTATATAGATGGGAAATAAACAGAGATTGCAGGCCTAGCCTGCACATACTCTAACCACGGACTTGTTGCCTGAATCTGGCCAGGTGCGCCAAACTTCTGGAAGGTGTGAGTATTGCATGAAGACACAAATTAAACACTTTCAGACCGAGCTAGCTACTGATTCTTTTGGAGCAGGATTAGGTTCCACTATAGATACAAAAGTAAATACTTATCCATTATCGTAAAAGTTCAGCTGTGGGGCAGAACCGGCTGCTGAAGAAGGAAGGAGAGGCAAATCTGCCTTTCCTGGCTGTGGTTTGTTTATTGGCTGTGTGTGTGCGCACACGTGTGTGTGTGTGTGTGTGTGTGTGTGTGATGTGTGATGTGTGTTTGGCCCTATGGCAGCACTCCATTTGCACTGTAAAGAAACTAAGGAGAACTGATTTGATAACCTAAACAGCTATGCCACATGCACCTTACAGGGACTTTTATGTTGAACTCCATGCAGAGTCCCATTTGAGCAATAGCAAGCTGTTGCGCACACTAAGTATTTTGTGCAGTCTTTAAAATGTAGGACTGTTACAGGTATTGCTTGAAATGAGGAGACTATAGAACAGTTCACAAAGAGTTCACAAAACAATTAGCTCAGTCAAGCAATTTATATTCTAGATAGTGTATCGCGGAAGAAGAGAATTAAAGCAGGTCCTGTTGCAAGTATAGAGATGTCATGCCTTTCTCCGCTGGAACTGAAAACGTTCTTCTTTTTTTAAATGACAAGTTCAGTCACTGGTCATTCAGTGTACAGGGTTTGATGTTCAGGGCAGTCCATGCTGGTAGGCTGGAGATGACAAGTAGTGTGTTCTCTGGGAAAGGCCTGTTGATATTTTCCATTACTTATATGACACCTAGCAGATCCAAAAGTGTTCCACAGATTGAATGAACAGGGGTCTCCCATAAGCCTGACTTTGTAAATGAGGAAACAGCTCCAAAGATTCCTGAACTCCAGGCCACACGACTATTTGTGGGAGAGCCAGAGGGGATATCCAAGCATTTTCTATCATACCACTCTGGGATTCCTTTAGAATGTCCCTCTCCCCTAAGTAATCATTACAGTGATTTTTAAAAGTTTTTAAGTTCATATATGTGTGTGTCTGCATTAAAGACCCCAGTGGTCCAGCGGTTAAGGACTCGGGTGCTAACTAAAAGGCTGTGGTTTCCATGCCAGCAACTGCTCTGTAAGAGAAAGATGTGCCAGTCTGCCTCTATACAGCCTTGGAAAACCATGTGGAACAGAGCAATTCTGTCCCGCAGGGTGTCTATGTGTCAGCATCCGCTGGACGGCAATGACCTATATATATTTAACGTATATGCAATGAGCTCCTGTGGTGCAGTGGTTACATATTGGGCTGCTACCTGCAAGGTCAGCAGTTCAAAACCACCAGCTGCTCCATGGGAGAGAGGTAGGGCTTTCTGGTCCTGGAAAAGTCAGTCTCTAAACCCCACTGGGGGGCAGTTCTACCTGGATCCAGAATTTCACTGTGAGTCTAAATCCGCTCGTAGGCAGTGAGAGAGACATTTGTGTGTATACAGACATAATCGTTTTTCCCCCTATTAAAAATCTTAATTTTTTTAATGCACGCCTTATCGATATACACTAAAAGGGGTTGCACACAGAACCATTTGTGCTACGGCACAATTGTTTCCACTTATCCCTGTGTCTATTCCCTGTCCCAGGCGCCTGCTGCCTCTAAAATCAGATTACAAGGCAGACACACAGAGTCACTTGTGTCTCCAACTGGGGAACCAGCAGCAAGTCAGCCTTCACTAACAGTGACGATTTTAAAATTGGAGCATGTCGAAACCCTCCCTGAACCGTTCAGACCACGCAGCCAAGAAGTTTAAATGCCTTCCCTGCACAGAGAAGAGTGGATTCTCTTTCCTAGAGCAATGCTGACCCCAAGCCTCTCCGAAGGACTGGTGGCACAGCAGGCATTTTGGGGGCGCGCCTGGGATCTCTTTGTGGCGCCTACTCCTTCCCTGTAATTATTCGGGTACAAAGCGGGCTTACTTAGTTCTTGGAAAGGTCCCTCTGCTCACAACCTGTGGACGTGCATTCAGCCCGAGGCTGGTGGGCGCACGCTTGGGAGTTGGACCCTGACCCGTCTCCGGGCGCTCCCCCAGGCTACCCTGGGGTCCTAGCTCCACCAGCGGGGTCTGGACGGCTCACGGCCGGGGCCAGCATCTCCGACTGGGTCCTTGGCCCCCGGCCCCCAGCCCGACCGCGTCAGACCTTAATTGGAGAGCCAGCGACTATTGGCTGAGGTTGCCGGTGATTTGCATGAACGGAGGGCGTGTCTTCCGCCGCCCTCGGTCCCCAGCGCGCTGGCTGCAGCCTCCCTGGGAATGCGCGGCGGAGGGACTGCGCGCAGCTCCAGGGCCCTGGCGGCAGTGAGCTGGCGCCCGGCGACCTGGCACCCGCGCCTGGCTATGGGGCATCTACCTCGCCTCAGGAGCAGCACCAGCCACAGGAACCTGCCGGTAAGGGTGGGGGTCCCGGAGCTCCACAGCCCCGACAAGTTGCAGTGCTGGGAGGCACTTCGTACCCCTTTGGTGGTGTTTCCAATCTTCAGACCTTTCACCTTAAATCCGAACTTCCAAGGAAGCAGGGAGGAAGGGAAAGGCAGTTTGGGCGAAAGTGCCTTCCTTCTAGCCAGGATTCAGCCAGTCCTGGGTGGCGAGAGTAAGTTTCTGAAGCAGCCATGGAGACAGATGGGATGGCGGGGAGGGGGAGGCGCGCGCTCCATCCGTTCTCCACACCCGGCTTCGCAGCGCGTTCTGGCTGCAGCCCTGGAGCTCCGACCGGCTCCTGAGATGGACACTCTGGTTTTTGGCAAGATCGTTTTCCGAGTGTCCCTCTCCTCCCTCAAGGGAACTTGGAAGCCCTTGGTAGGGGATAGGGAGACAGATGCTTTCGGTTTGATTTTTGATGCGCGTGCTAAAATGAACATCTCTTCTTCTCATCTATGGGGTGTGTGAGTGGGGGGGGGGTGTACTATTTTTCCATATGATTATTGTTGTTTTTATTTGGTGGTTTTTTTATTGGTCTCCTAGTAAGGACGGTCATGCGTTTCTGGTTCCAAGACCAACAGACAAAACTAGTTCAATGGGAAGTGAATTGCCCACCTTGCAGCCACCCCTCTTCCTCCCTGGACCCTGCCTGCCCTGGCTGCTGCCCCCTGCCGCGTTGCGCAGTCCCTGGGTGGGAGCCCCTCCACTCTGGTGTGTGTCTTCCTGAGATCCTTCACATTTGAGACGCGGAATGTGAACAGAAAGGGGATGCAGGTACTGCAGGAGGATGGCACCGATAGAAAAGTGTGCAGGGAAAAAAATAATGGTCATAAGTTCGGGAGAGTGTGTTGCTCCTTAAATCTCTCCTTAGCAGCAAGTTTCTTCTCCATCCCAGTCCAAGTCCAGGATTTTCACGTAGGAATAGGGATGGGGCAGCGTTAACCCCTGGGACACTGGTTTCTGACGCTTATCTGCTTCTGCGTGTGTAACTAGCCTTCTCCCCTCCCCCCCACTCTAGCATCTGTTTCTGTTTTTCCTCTTCGTGGGACCCTTCAACTGCCTCGCGAGTTACAGCCGGGCCACGGAGCTTCTGTACAGTCTGAACGAGGGACTGCCCGCCGGGGTGCTCATAGGCAATCTGGCCGAGGACCTGAGGCTGGTACCCAGGGCCTCCAGGAGGCAAGACCAGCAGCTGCAGGCGCCAGAACGCGCCAGTGTGGAGCTGAATCCCCCGCTCTCCTTCAGCCTGGCCTCGCGCGGACTGAGTGGCCAGTACGTGACCCTGGACAACCGCTCCGGGGAGCTGCACACTTCGTCCCAGGAGATTGACAGGGAGGCCCTGTGCCTGGAAGGAGGTGGAGAAACTGCCTGGGGCAACAGCATCTCCATCTCCTCCTCTTCTTCCTCTGACTCTTGCCTTCTGCTTCTGGATGTGCTGATCCTGCCTCAGGAATACTTTAGGTTTGTGAAGGTGAAAATTGCCATCCGGGACATCAATGACAATGCCCCGCAGTTCCCAGTTTCCCAAATCTCCATATGGGTCCCGGAAAATGCACCTGTTAATACCCGACTGGCCATAGAACATCCTGCCGTGGACCCAGATGTAGGCACTAATGGGGTGCAGACCTATCGATTACTGGACTACCACGGTATGTTCACCCTGGATGTGGAAGAAAATGAGAATGGGGAGCGCACCCCCTATCTCATCGTCATGGGGGCTTTGGACAGGGAGACCCAAGACCAGTATGTGAGCATCATCATCGCAGAGGATGGTGGCACTCCACCACTACTGGGCAGTGCCACCGTCACCATTGGCATAAGTGACATCAATGACAATTGCCCACTCTTCACAGACTCACAAATCAATATCACACTGTATGGAAACGCTACAGTTGGCACCCCAATTGCAGGTGTCCAAGCTGTGGATAGAGACTTGGGGACCAATGCTCAGATCACCTATTCTTACAGTCAGAAAGTTCCTCAGGCATCTAAGGATTTATTTCATCTGGATGAAACCACTGGCGTCATCAAACTTTTCAGTAAGATCGGTGGCAGTGTTCACCAGACGCACAAGCTCACCATCCTGGCTAATGGCCCAGGCTGCATTCCTGCTGTGATCACTGCCCTGGTGTCCATTATCAAAGTCATTTTCAGACCCCCTGAAATTGTCCCTCGTTACATAGCAAACGAGATAGAGGGTGTTGTTTACCTGAAGGAACTGGAACCTGTTAGCACTCCTATTGCTTTTTTCACCATAAGAGATCCAGAAGGTAAATACAAAGTCAACTGTTACCTGGATGGTGAAGGGCCGTTTAGGTTATCACCCTACAAGCCCTACAACAATGAATATTTGCTAGAAACCACAAAGCCAATGGACTATGAACTACAGCAGTTCTACGAAATAGCTGTCGTGGCTTGGAACTCTGAAGGATTTCACGTCAAAAAAATGATTAAAGTGCAACTTTTAGATGACAATGACAATGCTCCTATTTTCCTTCAGCCCCTAATAGAGCTAACCATTGAAGAAAACAACGCACCCAATGCCTTTTTGACCAAATTGTCTGCTACAGATGCTGACAGCGGAGAGAGAGGCCAGGTGTCATACTTTCTAGGAGCAGATGCGCCGTCCTACTTTGCTGTAGACAGCACCACGGGAGTGCTAACCGTGTCCACCCAGCTCGACCGGGAAGAGACAGAGAAGTACAGGTACACCGTCCGAGCTGCCGACTCCGGGAAGCCCCCCAGAGAATCAGTTGCCACCGTGGTGCTCACCGTGTTGGATAAAAATGACAACAGCCCCCGGTTTATCAACAAGGACTTCAGCTTTTTTGTGCCCGAAAACTTTCCAGGATATGGTGAAATTGGAGTAATTAGTGTAACAGACGCTGATGCCGGCCAAAATGGATGGGTGGCCCTTTCGGTGGTGAACCAGAGTGATATTTTTGTCATAGACACTGGAAAGGGGATGCTGAGGGCCAAAGTCTCTCTGGACAGGGAGCAGCAAAGTTCCTATACTTTGTGGGTGGAAGCTGTTGATGGCGGTGAGCCCGCCCTCTCCTCTACGGCGAAAATCACGATTCTTCTGCTCGACATTAATGACAACCCTCCTCTGGTCTTATTTCCTCAGTCAAATATGTCCTACTTGTTGGTTCTGCCTTCTACTCTCCCTGGCTCCCCAGTGACAGAGGTCTACGCCGTGGACAAAGACACAGGCATGAATGCCGTCATAGCTTACAGCATCATAGGGAGAAGAGGTCCGAGGCCTGAGTCCTTTCGGATTGACCCCAAAACTGGCAACATTACTTTGGAAGAGGCATTGCTGCAGACAGATTATGGGCTCCACCGCTTGCTGGTCAAAGTGAGTGACCATGGCTACCCAGAGCCTCTCCACTCCACAGTCATGGTGAACCTATTTGTCAATGACACGGTCAGTAATGAGAGCTACATTGAAAGTCTTTTAAGAAAGGAACCAGATATTAACATAGAAGAGAAAGAACCGCAAATCTCCATAGAACCAACTCATAGAAGGGCAGAGGCTGGGTCATGCATGCCCACTTTGGTAGCTCTATCTGTAATCAGTTTGGGTTCTATCACACTTGTAACAGGCATGGGTGTTTACATCTGTTTAAGGAAGGGGAAAAAACATCACAGGGAAGGTGAAACTTTGGAAGTACAAATGCCACTGAAAGGAAAAATTGACTTGTGTATGAGAGAGAGGAAACCGGTGGATATTTCTAATATTTGACAGTCTAGTGTGCACAACTCAGAGAGGTGTTTTAAATGAATTTGGGTAGCCTCCCCCCACTAAGCACGAGTGGTTAGTGGCAAGTCCAGTGACGGACAACTAATTTATAACTTGTTCTATATTGTAAATAGCTGTTTACAGGTTTTTAAAATTTGAATTCAGATGTTATAAAATGTGTACAGCATTTTTTAATGAAAATTAGTACTAACAGCAGTAGAATTGTGATAAAAATGCTGGGCCATCATTTGCCGCTTTCAAACATTAAGCAGATGATTGATAAAATCAGAGAGAAAGGTAGGAGTATGGTACCTTGTCATTATTTTGTCTAAAAGTCCTTTAACCACAAGAGGGCATCAGTTGCCCCTTTGCAGGGAATTGTTTGCGATATTGTACATGCAGGTGTTGTACATGAAATTAATGAGAGTCTATTTTAAATATATTGTTTTTAACATTTAACAAATATAAAATCAAAGTAAATTTAATTTGCCCTTCTTAAATGTATGATAAGAGGGAAAAGAAATGCACTTGTAAACAGAATGTTTATTACCTCATAAGTACATCATGTATCATTTGAAAGAAAGAGCATTAAAAAATAACTTAATTATTTTTAGCAAGGACATAAAAAAATTCTTTGTATGATTTAAAAGTTTCTACTTGCTAAAGAGCACCTCATTTCCTGTGTATTCCAACCGTGTTCAGTTTGCTTCACCACTGCACTTGCTATTATTATAGGAGGAAATACATCACTTCTTCCTTACAGAAAATGTAACTAGAAATTGTACCAAGAACAACAGCCAGAAGCAAAGAAATGTTTCCCTCCTCAGTTGCTTCGTAGATGTTGATGACCTTATGGTGTTTTCATAGCTTGTGAATCATACCTTAAACACAGGCTGCATATTAGATTTTTATAGGCTTAAGCTTCTCCATCAAATAAGATGAACATTACTCTCAGTCGGTCTCCTTCTAGAAGCTGGTGCAATCTGCCGGTCATTTCAGTGGGGCATTTCCTAGGACCGTTATATTTCTGTTGTTTAGGTTTGTTGGCTGCCGTTTCTGGCTTTCCTTCTTGCCTTTGGACTAAGTCCAAGAGTTGATGTGTCAGCCCAGGAGCAGATTTCTTTGATCATTTAGCCTTTTCTGCATCTTTAGCAATGCATGAGTCTAGTTCATCAGTGCCTAATCCCTTTTAATTCATTGTGTGAGCTGGACATTTTTATTTTTTATGAGAGCTGTTACAAATTTATCTGTATAAACAAGGAATGTGTTAGCTTAAGTTGGACTGTTTTACTTTTGTCATCACGTGTCTGTACTGTACCCAAAGTGTTTATATGTCTGCAAATTAAAGCTATATATTTTCATAACTTCTCTCTCATTTTTACCATTTTATATCCAAGTCTGGGCTTACTCGCACACGGAAGTGGCTATTATTAGTATTCCTTTACTTCTAGGGGTAAATGTGGGTAAATTTAAAGTGTTTTTCTTATGCTGAAGTTTATGTTAAACTAATTCATGACTCAATTAAACATAGAGGAAAAATAAATATGTGTTGTTATAGACATTTATATACCATACAGTATGCCTGTTTTTGATAGAAATTGATATATTTACACCCATGCATGTGAATATAAATGTTAATTTATTGTATATTTTATATCAATGATAAGCATACATTTTGCTTCATATATTGATAGCAAATGCTCTGTTGGCTGTGCTGCAATAGCTTTCAAAGTTTATTTAAAATAAAAATCCTGGGAAAATTTTTAAAGAGAAAGAGAGAGAGAGAAAGTAAATGCCCAAGACTTAAAAAATTTCTATTAACTCATTTTCTTCAACTGAACAATTTAGGCAAATAAAATAATAAGCATATGAGGCCCCATTGGTTGTTAAAAACATAACATTTTCTTTTGCGAAACACTTTGTATGGAAAGGAGCAGAGATGAGAAAGGAAGGCTCCTTAGCCCCAGACTCTCCATTCATAATGGATGTATAGCCCCTAGCAGTCATTTTCACTTCCTTTTGTTTCCTCTTTTAAAAGGAAGCATCTACTTATGAAACAAGTAGTACCATTAATAAGACCCTTTTGGCCATCAATATACATAATAAACTATCTTCTATATTCCACACTTTGAGTAAGGTTTATGTGTTTTGGAGTATAAACTCCTGCAGCCTGAGAGACATTAACAGAAGGACATATTTTTGAATAATTTCTTGTGGAAACATTTCCTTTATGAAAACATCTCATTTACATTAAACACATTTATAATAAGGGGAAGCTCAAGTAAATTAAGCTCAAAGATAAAAGTCCCTTTTTACTAACACCTTGTGCTAGAACAGTTGCCAAAATGTATGCTAATCATGTCAATGTTGTTAGTTGAGCTGGCACAAAAATAAATGTTCCATTCATTAAAACCCCTAATATCCATTTAACAGTTTGAGAACCAGTGAGGTCCTTTTTCTCAATGTAATGAAGAGATTGCTCTGATCTGTGCACTGCCCAATCCATTCTTCCACCAGAGAGAAAATGATTCCTTAATTTGAATTGGGAAATTTAAAACCAGCATAGCAGTTTTAACTACCGGGGGAAAATAATTCATACTATTTGATTCTTTAGGTACATTTAGTGATGCTGTTTAAAATAAGAAAAATAAAATAGAAGAAATGTGTCACTTAGAAAACTTTTGTAAGCTGAGGTCAGTTTATTAAAGAGATTAAATAAATAACTATGTTATTGTGTATTGGGGATGTTCAGTGAGAATGCTGGGCACAGTTTCCCTGTGAAATAGCATATTGTGTTAGAGATGTTGTGTGAAGTTGGCTTGACTGCTTTGAGTTCGGTCATAGGGATTCTAAGCTGTGCTTCCCCAAAATATCCGAACCTGATAGTTGTAAGATAAGGAATTAAACATGCTTCTCCTTTGGAGACGATTCTAATCTGTCCTCAGAGAGATGAAGATGGAGGTTCTGACCTGTGTGCACAGTGGTAAATATAAGGAAAGTGCAGCAATGAACATTGGTGATTTTCACCTCCACTGGGCACCTTCAACTCATGGAAGACAGAGGCGTAGATAACTGGCCATTTCCTTCCTTGATTCAGGCAGATTTGCTTACTGCACGAACACAGATAATTGTGGAGATGCCATATTGCTGACATGGGCAGTCTCTTCCTACTACTGTGCTCTGAGGTGGCAGGCACATAGTCAATAATACTTATTGAAGAGAGTCAGGTATCACAGAACAGGGAAATAATTAATTGACACAATTGGTCATACCTGACCTATATCCTCTGAAAAAACAAATAACCCACCAGACAGTGTTTCTAGATTTTTTTCTATTTCAGATAAGGAAGAAAAAAATGCATATTTTTCAACTAATTCATACAACTATGTAACCTATGCATAGGTGCTCTGATGATGCTTGATTACAAATCACAATGGTCAAGGGATCCATGAACTTTATCCAAAGAAAAAACATAATCTAATTCCCTGAAGGTTTGCAGTTATGGAAACAATCTGGGGAAATTTGACTCTGTCTTATGAGCCAGAATCAACTCTATTGCACTTCATTTTTGGTCCTTGAAAAATAATTTTTTTTCAAAATTAAAAAAATCTTTTTTTTCTCCTCTGATGAACTCTGCAATTAATCATTGCTTCTCAGAGGGCATAAAACAAAATTCAGTGAAATTTGTATGAAAGTAAGCCTACAGTGCTGATTTTTTAAAAAACCATGGAGTAATTCATCCCATGCATATTTATATTATCTCTAATAATTATTAGGAATTTAACTAAGAACAAGCTAGAAACCCATGATGAATTCTGTTTATCCTATGGATGGCTGAAACAAAACCCTCCACTGTGGAACAGCCTGAGTGAACAATTCCTGTGCACGGTGCCGTGTGAGTAGGACCTCGGGAAGCCAGAGACAATGTTCCAAATTAGAGGATGGTAATTTGAATGAGATGAGTTTTAGAAAGAAGAAATCTCAGTTGAGCCTAGAAAAGGGGAACATCGACGAGGGAAAAGTGGGCAGAATAGTGTGCAAGGCACACGTGTTAACGTGCGCATTTCATATGTTAAAAACAACAGCAGTGATGCTAACAATCCAAACCTTTTGGATTGCAACTCACCCTGACGGCCTATGGGACAAAGGCGAGCTGCCTCACAGCTCTTCCATGCCTGAGTAAGGAAGCACGTGCCCCGTCTCTCACATGATGGCTGACAGGTTCAAATGGCTGGGTTTGTTTGTTTGTTTTTATCAGTGAAGTGATTTAGTCATTGTGCCACCAGGGATCCCTAAGTCACTTAAAGAGCCATAATTGTTATAGTCCCTCTGCCTATTTGTCAGGGAAAACAGAATGAAAGTGAATATTATAAATGAGCTTATTGTTAGATGGCAAATGGAAAAAATAAATTAAAATAAGGACTTGTGTCCACTTGTAGGTTAGAATTTTAGGATTTATGGTGTGTGAATTTGTGTTTTAGGAAAATCATTTTGTCCAAAACATGGAGTTTGTTTTTGAATAAGATTCTAGAAACTGATTATAGGTAGAAAGAGGCTTGGTTGCCTAGTGGTTAGGTGTTGGGCTGCAATGCTCATGGTCAGCAGTTTGAACCGACTAGTTCCTCTGAGGGAAAGGTGACCATTTCCCAGACCCGCACGGCTTGCTCCGGTCTGTCTTATAGGTTCACCGTGAGTTGGAATAGACTCATTGACCATGAGTTTGGCTTGTACAGAACAGTGATTTTGGAACGTACAACTAAATTGAGAGGGAGAATCTTAAATCAAGAAATTTGAAAAAAGATATATCATAACAAAGAATATGTGATGCAAATAATTTGCAATTCAAAAGGAAATTTGTGATCCCGTAGAAATTAATGCACATATGATAAACCAGAAATGTTAGTCCTCATAATTTTATTGATCCTATTTACATATAGGAAAAAGGATTCAGATCTCATTTCTAATGATTAAATCAGCAACGAAAGCAGTGGAGACATATCTCCTTTTCTCATGTTGGGTTTTATGACAGATGGAATTGTTAAGACACTAATTAGCCCAGTGTATTTCACATTTATGACTGTTAATTCTACTCAATTAGCAAACATCACTGTGTGCCCATGATGATTGTATACTCCAATATGAGGATGACCTTATTGAAAATATCTTATCCAAGGAATTTGCAGCATTTTACCTGTAGGGGCATAAAAACATTCACCTATAGAAGAGTCCTGGTGAATTTCTAAAAGGCAATAAGCTGTGAAATAGGCTATATAAGGTATACAAAATAATTACAAATGTCTGTGTATCATGAAAAAGTACATCCATCCCAATCATTTTCAGAATGTAAAAATTCTAATGTAGGAAATCTGAGCAAGTTAATGGGCAGTTATTTCAAGAAATGCATAGGCCTTGGGTATTAATGTAGTTGTTGAATGTGAACTCACGTTATCGTATGTCTCAGTTTTTGTATACACGTGTAAAATGAATTAATAGTATTATTTGGAAGGTCCTACAACATTAAAACAGTTATGAGCTAGACTACTAACTGAAAAGTTCATGATTCATACTCATCCTGAAACACCATAGCAGTCTGCTTCTGTTAATTAGTTTTAAAAACCCCACAGAGTACAATTCTACTCAACACACATGAAGTTGCCATGAGTCAGATGTGACTCAATGGCCACAGGTTGATTTGTTTGTAGTGCTATAGATGATATTCTAGAACCCTGGTTAAGCAAACCCTCGGTGTGTGTATGGTACAGTGTGTGTATAGTCCTGCCCCAAAAGGAGTCTCTTTCCACTTCTCACCCAACCAAGTGTCCTTCCTGAGACATATCTCTTTGGAAAGTCTGAACACCTTCTGTATCGCCGCCCTTCTATTTTACCAAACATCATGTCCTTCTCCAGGGACTGGTCTCTTGTGACTATATCACCATAGTATGTAAGGAAATTAAATAATCTGTATAGATATTTAGCACAATGTATTGCTTAACAAATATTAGCTATTATTATTGCCATTGGCACTGAACAGGATGTCATGAAGTTGTCTAAGTATTGTGTTCTCATTCTTCCACTAAATTTACTCAACAGGTGTTGTTTTTATTTTATTATAAATAATGCCCATAATATTTAGTGGTGTGTTAGATTGAAGGCCTGTAAGGTCAAAATACTCTAATAAGTTTATATACATTACTTAGAACATGCAAACCTTTTCATTTTTCCTTTGCATTTGTCCTGAGTTTATGCCTTTTTTTCATTTGGAAACTTAATGAAGGCCAGGGAAAGAGGTGAATTATCAAAATATGAAGCTTTAGGTCTAATTTAACCCAACATTCTTAGTTTATAGTTAAATAAACTAAGACAT